CAGCAGCAGTCGCCGCCGGTGTTCGCCCTTTGCCTGCTCGGCCTTTCCTCCCCTGACCACTCACGTGTGCTTCCCTCTCCGCCTACTCCCCTTCCTGTCCACGGTCCTTTGTTTCCTGCACCGGAGTCGTCACCAGCTCGCTCCCCTCCTGATAGTCCTCCTCTGTCTCCTGACCCGACGCCTTTGTCTGACGTCTGGTCTCGTCGTCCTTCTCGTGCTCGTCATGTCTCCCCTGTTCGGCGTTCTCACCCTACTGTATGTTGCTTCGTTTCCACGCGTCTCGTCCTCCCCTCCTACCTTCGCCTCCTCCGTCGTCGCTCGCTATCGTGCCTCCCCCTCTGTCTGACTACCTTCGTGCTACTCATCCTCTTGTTCCTCGGGTCCTTGCCTCCCTTGTTATCGACCTGTCTGTTCCTCTCTCGCGTCTTGACGATCTTGTCTCTGCTGTCGCTGCCTTCGCCTCTACCCGCCGCCTTGACTATGCCACCACTCTGGTCTCTGACCCTGCTCGTCCTCTGTCCGTCAAGGGTGCTCATGCTGTTGGCAGTGACGTCATAGAGGACAGGCAGTACGAGCTTGCTTTCCTGTCTTCACCTCGGGACCCTGGGCCTCTCAGTGGAAAGCTGCCATGGAGCAGGAGATGGCATCTTGGACATCCACCAGCACCTACGTTGACGCAGTTCCCCCACCTGGGGTGAACGTAGTCGATGGCCTGTGGCTCTTCAAGGTGAAGCGCCCCCTTAGAGAGCCGTCTGTGTTAGGTGCGCTACGTGGCTAGAGACTCCAGTCAGCGAGAGGGGGTGGACTTCTTTCAGACCTTCGCACCGACCCCGAAGATGACTACTCTTCGGGCGCTGCTACACGTAGCAGCACAGCGTGACTACGAGCTCCACTCCCTCGACTTCTCCACAGCTTTCCTTCAGGGCAGCCTACACGAGCAGGTCTACCTGCGCTGCCCTTAGGGCTTCACCGGTACCTTCCCTCCAGGGACCCAGTGGCTCCTCTGGCACCCGGTCTACGGCCTGCGACAGGCGCCCTGTAAGTGGCACGACACGTTGCGTGCTACGCTAGCTGACCTGCAGTTCTTTTCATCCACTGCAAACCCTTCGCTCTTCGTTCATGCTGGCCAGGCTCCGTTCTACATTCTTGTCTACGTAGACGACCTGGTCTTCGCCACTACAGACAGAGACGCACTGACCTCCATGAAGGCTAAGCTGCTGAGGAGACACACCTACACCGACCTAGGAGAGCTGCGCCGCTACCTTTGCCTGCAGATCTCCAAGGACAGAGCAACACGCACCTTCACTCTTACACAGTCACACTTGGTGCGCACCGTCTGTTGCTCAGTCTAGCCGTGAGGCTGAGATCTACGCTGGTGCCATGACGGCAGAGGAGCTCCGCTGGCTGACCTTCTTGCTCGCCGACTTAGGTGAGCGGCCTAGCTCTGTCTCGGTCCTGTACACTGGTAATAGGGCCATGATCCTCCTGTGTCAGGAACCCCGACTTGAGGGCAGAGCCAAGCACATCCAGCTGCGGTACTTCCTCCTGCGCGAGCTACAGCAGCGTCGCCAAGCCCGCTTAGTACACTTGGCCTCCGATGCCAAGAGAGCTGATATCTTTACTAAGGCGCTTGCGCCTAAAGATCATTAGCGGCACTGCTTGCAGCTAGGTCTAGTTCCTGTAGACTCTCAGTTGCTAGGACCTTGATTGTGTACTCCTCTATATTTATGCCTTCTAGGCTGGCGTTGTGGTCGGACTAGTAGTGCCACCCAGGTTTGTCTTGTTTGTACTCTTGCTAACTGGTCTTTGGACCCCTGCCTCAGAGGTTGGACTAGTATTACTACCCTGAGCTGTGTATTTCTTGCTTTGCACTACCCCTTTTCTAGCCTAGGGGTTGTGTCAACTGATACATATGTTGCTATGTATAACTTATAGGCTAGATAATTGTATGTTGTTAGAGGGTACAATCAAGACACATATATCTCCCTTGTTCCGCTTGTGTTCATTATTCATTCACATTAACACAACCTCCAATTCGATCGGAACCAGGCAAAGAGGATGCCTGTCCTCCGTCTATCGGGGGTGCTCCTGCCCTTGGCAGTGACGTCCTGGAGGACCGCCAGTTCGAGCTTGCTTTCCTCTCCGAGGCTGCTCCCCATCTCTGTTCCATGCTGCTAGTCCCTGAGGGTGACCCAGACGCTTTCGACATCCCGACCCCTCGCACTTACGCTGAGGCGACTTCGGGACCCTGGGCCTCGCAGTGGATAGCTGCCATGGAGCAGGAGATGGCATCTTGGAGATCCACCGGCACCTTCGTCGACGCAGTTCCCCCACCTGGGGTGAACGTAGTCGATGGCCGCTGGCTCTTCAAGGTGAAGCGCCCTCCTGGAGAGCCGCCTGTCTTCAAGGCGCGCTATGTGGCTAGAGGCTTCAGTCAGCGCGAGGGGGTGGACTTCTTCCAGACTTTCGCTCCGACCCCGAAGATGACTACTCTTCGGGTTCTGTTATACCTAGCTGCTCAGCGTGACTACGAGCTTCACTCCCTCGACTTCTCCACTGCCTTCCTTCAGGGCAGCCTACACGAGCAGGTCTACCTGCGCCGCCCTCCGGGCTTTACTGGCACCTTCCCTCCTGGGACCCAGTGGCTCCTGCGGCGCCCCGTCTACGGCCTGCGCCAGGCTCCCCGTGAGTGGCACGACACTCTGCGTGCTACGCTTGCTGACCTGCAGTTCTTTCCGTCTTCTGCAGACCCTTCACTCTTCGTTCGTGCTGGCCAGACTCCGTTCTACATCCTCGTTTACGTCGACGACCTGGTCTTTGCCACAGCAGACAGGGACGCGCTGGCCTCCGTGAAGGCAGAGCTGCTGAAGAGACACACCTGCACTGACCTTGGAGAACTGCGCCGTTACCTTGGCTTGCAGATCTCCAGGGACAGAGCTGCGCGCACCATCACCCTGACTCAGTCACACTTGGTGCGCCAGGTCCTTCAGAGGTTCAGCCTTCAGTTCTCCTCTGCACAGCCCACCCCTCTGCCTGTAGACCACAGGCTCTCCGCTCCAGTGCCTGAGGAGTTGGTAGAGCCCAGCGGCCCCTACGCAGAGCTGGTGGGTTGCCTCATGTACCTGATGACTTGCACTCGCCCAGATCTCGCATACCCTCTCAGCATCCTGGCTCGCTTTGTGGCCACAGGCAGACACCGACCGCAGCACTGGTCTGCCGCTAAGAGGGTTCTGCGTTATCTTGCTAGTACATCGGGCATGGGGTTAGTGCTAGGAGGACGCAGGCCAGCGGTCCTTACTGGGCACACAGACGCTTCGTGGGCAGACGACGCTGAGACACTCCGGTCTACCCAGGGCTACTGCTTCAGCCTTGGCTCAGGTGCCGTCTCGTGGAGAGCTACTCGCTCCTCGTCTGTTGCACAGTCCAGCTGTGAGGCTGAGATCTACGCCGGTGCCATGGCGGCACAGGAGCTCCGCTGGCTGACCTTCTTGCTCACTGACTTAGGTGAGCGGCCTAGCTCTGCCCCGGTCCTGTTCGCTGACAACAGGGCCATGATCCTCCTGTGTCAGGAGTCTCGACTCGAGGGCAGAGCGAAGCACATTCAGCTGCGGTACTTCCTCCTGCGTGAGCTACAGCAGCGACGTCAGGCTCGCGTAGTACACTTGGCCTCAGGTGCCAACACGGCTGATATCTTTACGAAGGCGCTTGCGCCTAAAGATCATCAGCGGCACTGTGTACAGCTTGGTCTAGTTCCTGTAGCCTCTCACTTGCTAGGACCTTGACTTTGTACTGTCCTTTATATGTATACTCAGACTGGACTTGTGTCCTCTCCCAGTGGCTGGACTAGTAGTGCCGCCCTGCTCTTGTGCTTGCCTTGTCTGTACTCCTTCTGACCGGTCGCTCAGACCCTTGTCTCAGAGGTTGGACTAGTAGTGCCGCCCTGAGCTGCTTGTTTAGGGTATTCCCCTATGCAGTCTAGGGGGTGTGTCAAACATGTGTATTTGTCATGTTTGTATAGACTGTATAGAGTCACCTCTTAGAGGATACAAAACTTAGATATATTTGTGTGTACTCTCACTTTACCATTATTCAATTATTCTGATATTATTTTGTGCTGTGTCAAAGATTCTAGTGTATCAGTATGCCTGTTGTGAGTCAGTCACCCGAGCGAGGTCAGGATTCCGTGATTGTGTTTTCTCCACCTGACAAACAATTAGTAGCATGTTTCCCCGGAAAGCACATGCTTGAATCTCCTTGGGCTTGTTACATGAAAAGGGGTCTTATCGGAGACTGTGAGATATATTCCATTCAGTACGGTACTATATGTTGATCAATTACACCTCCACGAAATTTGATTCTGTGTGGGCTGCTCGGCACGAAGTGTGGATTCGCGTGTGTCTTGTTGACCATCCCCAGTTCCTGCAGCATTCCACTGCTGGAATGTACCACGTCCTGTGGCACCTCCATGAATTAGAGCGTGTCCGAAGTAGAGAGTTGACGCCAGCTACGCTTAGCTGACGTCAACTTCCCGAAAGGCTCGACGTCAAATGTGGGCGTCAAACCAGACGCGAATCCCAACTTCGGACAAGCTCACTCGCACAAGTCTGCCCAAAATGAAATACGTAGAAAGTTTTCGACCGGGCAAGCGAAAAAATTGGGAACCACCAGCATACTGAAAGTTACCACGTCACAAAAATATCGTCCTATCCCCTCCCAACGACCAGCAGGAGATTCGCGGATTCGTTTTCGTTGGTTCGGTGGGTGTCCTACGGGTTCTGTGGCATAATTTTTAGGCTGCCCTCTAAGTTGTTGAAACAACACAGTGTGATGTCAAGTTCGACTACTGGGTTTTGGCAGCCCTACTTCGGCCACCCCGGAAATCGGACTGTAGCGTGTACAGTGGTGGTAACCCTCTTTCAACATCTGTGACGTCCCATCTATGCTACTTCGGACACCCTCTTATAAGCAGCACGACTAGAGGGAATGTTTTGCGACCAGCTTGTGCATTTCAGCCCGGGGATCGCCTCGCATTCCACCCATTTCCGCGCGTAGCACCGCGTCCTCCGCAGATCGCCGCCGCACCCACCCACCGCTGCTCGCGACACCGATCGCACTCGCAGCTCACCGCGTCGCCATGCCGCCCGCCGCCCCTCCTCGCCCCGCCTCGCCCGCCGCCGCCACGGCCGTCGCGAGCGTGACGCCGCACCGGGTGGCCCTCGCGCTGCTGCTGCGCCTCCTCGCGGGCCCGCCGCCCCCCGCCGTGCCCGCGCTGCCCGACCATCCCCACGCGCACGATGCTCGCGCGCAGGCCCCGCTGCCCCGCCGCGTGCGGCAGCGACTGGCGCTCTTCCTGCTGCGCGAGGCCAAGGTGCGCCGCTGGGGGAGCGCTGGTTGGGGGGTTGAAGGCGGATGGGCGCAGCAGTGACAGCGGTGGGGGGGGGAATGGGAGGATGGGGGAATGGGAGGATGGGGGGATGGGGGGATGGGGTGGAAGGAAAGTGAGTGGGGAGAGAGGCGGAGCGGAGGGAGGGAAGGGGACGAGCGGCGGGTGGAATGGTGAGGTGGTGCGCGGCTGGGCGAGGTGGGCGAGGAGGAAGGCGAGGGCGGGAGAGGGTGGAACGACGAGCAGCCAGGGAGGGAGAAGCATGGCGCCGGCCAGGGTGTGGGGAGAGCCGTGCCTCGCCGCCATGTCAAGATCCCTGCTCCCCCTCCCCTCTCCTCCCCGCATCGCCCCTTGAAATGAGCCGCCCTCAGTACGCCCCTACGCGCCCTCACATCCCGTCCCATCTCCTCCCCTCCCCCACCCCAGGCAGCACACTCGTGGCACGAGCCCCCTCTGAGCGCGCTGCTGCTGCGATTGGCGGCTGACGTGGCGGCGGGAGAGGGGGGTGCGGAGGAGGGGAAAGGCGAGGGCGAGGGGGCGAGCGGGGGGGTGGGGCGGCAGCTGGTGCGGCAGCTGCAGGCGCTGCAGTCGCCCGATGACCTCTTCTCCCTCGCCGCCTCCCTGCGCTGTGAGTGGTGGAAGTGATGAGGTGCGACCACTGTATGCGTGCATGGCAGGCGTGTGTGTCAGGTGTGCGGGTTGGTGCAGGAACTCACGCCTGTGAGCACTGGCGGTCTTCTCAGGCAATCCATTCGTCCCCCATGCACCGTCCACCATCGAGCAGGTATCACTCATACCAGTGAGCAGGTATCACCCATACCAGGGAGCAGGTATCACCCATACCAGTGAGCAGGTATCACCCATACCAGTGAGCAGGTATCACCCATACCAGTGAGCAGGTATCACCCATACCAGTGAGCAGGTATCACCCATACCAGTGAGCAGGTACCACCCATATACCAGGGAGCAGACCCATACCAGTGAGCAGGTATCACCCATACCAGTGAGCAGGTACCACCCATACCAGGGAGCAGGTACCACCCATACCAGGGAGCAGGTATCACCCATACCAGTGAGCAGGTACCACCCATACCATACCAGTGAGCAGGTACCACCCATACCAGGGAGAAGGTATCACCCATACCAGTGAGCAGGTATCACCCATGCTTCTCCCACTCAGGTGCACGCACCTCTGTCACCTCCCCCTTTCCCAGCCCCCTTTTTTCCTCTCCCCCTCCGCATGCCCCCTGCATGTGCCATGCAGCGTGTGTGGGTGGCAGCAGCGGCCCCTCGTCCCAGCAGGCAGGCGTGCCGGTGGCCGCTGGCAGTGCGCTCGGCCTCTTCCTGCGCTCGCTGCTGCTCGCCCTGCACCACCTGCCCTTCCAGGTGCCCTGCACTCCTGGTGTCACACTGCCGTGCACTCCTGGTGTCACACTGCCGTGCACTCCTGGTGTCACACTGCCATGCACTCCTGGTGTCACGGTGCCGTGACTCCCGGTGTCACGGTGCCGTGCACTCCTGGTGTCACGGTGCCGTGCACTCCTGGTGTCACGGTGCCGTGCATTCCTGGTGTCACGGTGCCGTGCATTCCTGGTGTCACGGTGCCATGCATTCCTGGTGTCACAGTGCCGTGCATTCCTGGTGTCACAGTGCTGTGCGACCCCGTGCGCACTGCTCTCACCGTCCACTCGTGCGCGCCCTCCATTGCCCCATGCATGCTCCCTACGCACTCCCACCGCTACGACCTTCCCCACCCTCACTTATCCGTTTTTCTCTGTGCACTTGCTGTCACGCGTGCATGGCTGCGTGGCTTGACGGCATGGCGGCAGGGCGTGTGCCATGTGCTGGGCGCCATCCACGGCTACCTGCACCAGTGGGCGGGCCGCAGGGGCATGCAGGCACACAGCCGGGAGATGGGGAGCGAGGCAGCAGAGGGGGATTCAGAGTGGAGGGAGGAAGGGGAGGAGGTGTGGCGGGATGGCGGGGAGGCCATGGAGGTGGACTGGGAGGGCGACAGCCACTGCATGCTCGCATCACCGGGTGCTTCCTCGCGGCCGCTGTCGTTCGACACCATCACGCATCGCAGCAGGGGGCCCCAGGGGAGCGCGCAGAGGCAACAAGCCAGACGGGTGGGCGGCAGGGCCGCAGCAGAGGGGGCGGCTTGGCTCAGCGGGGGGAGGGTGGGAGGGGCGGAGGAGGGGGAGGGCAGGGCGGCGTGGGAGGAGGAGTTTGAGCGCGAGGTGCTGGGGGGAGGGGGGAGGGGGCAGAGGGAGGGGGATGATGCAGTGCAGGCGGACGGGAGAGATGGGGGCGTGTGGGGGGGAGGAGGAGGAAGGAGGAGCAGTGGAGGGATGGTGGGGGTGGAGGCAGAGGCAGGGGAAGAGGGGCGGGAGAGTGAGGAGGGGCGAGGGGGAGGAGGCGGCACGCAGAAGCGGTATCTTCGGGAGGCGGGGCGCCTGGCGGAGTACCTGGATGCGCGCATGGAGGCGGCCACCAGGTGCGCGGACGCCAGCAGGTGCGAGCACGGTGGTGAAACATCTCTTCCCTTGGTTCGCTTCTCGCCACTGTCCTTTTCCTCTCTCCTGTACTCGTTCCGTCTATGCCCGTCTCGCTCCCCCTCTCGTGCCCTCTCTCCCTTTTCGCTCGTCCCAGCTGCTCTCTCTCCCCCTCGCCCCTGGAGCTGTGCTTGCCATGTGTGTGCTTGGCGCAGCAGTGGTGCGATGCGACTCGTGCAGAGAGGCATGGCTAGTAGTGTGCGTGGGAAGGTGGAGGGGGCAGAGCGGAATGGAGAGCATCCGCTCTCGTGCACTCCCCTTCTCACGCGCATGCCCCATCCATTCGTCCATCGTGTGCGCTGCAGGCTGGGCGCAGCAGCAGCAAGCCCGAGGACCAGTGAAGGGGGCATGCTGGCGCCATGGGTGGTGCGCTGCCAGACGACGTGAGCGCCATGGCGTATGCGCACGACCTGCCGCCCAAGGTGCATACATGTGCCTTGCTATATGCATGGCGGTGTGAAGCCATCCCTGGCAGCCCATCCGTGTGCCCTCTGTTCTGCCTGTTGCGTGCCCATGCCACCCCTCTTGGCTCTTGCACGCCACGCCTCTCCATGCGACCTACCACTCTCCTTGCCTTTACTCACCTCTTTCTTTCACATTGCTGCATGGCTGCATGGAATCACATGGCTGCATGGCATGGCATGGGCGCATGGCACATGGGTGCATGACATCACATGGGTGCATGGCATCACATGGGTGCATGGCGTGGGTGCATGGCATCAGGTGCATCTGTGGCAGCACCACGAGTCTCTCTCCTCGCGCCATCTCTCCTCCTCCCTCGCCTCCCTGCACCGCTACTTCGACTACAGGTGAACAGTCATGGCCAGGCGGAGAGGGGGGGGTCATACAGGTGCCACGGATGGGTTGCTGGAGTAGAGAGGCCCATGAGAGGGCATTCGCAGGCGCGTGCGAGTGTGGGGGGCAGTGGGAAGGGCCTGCTGCATGACAGGGCAAGGAAGTGTGGGGGAGAGTGTGGCGTTCGCACGTTGATACGTGTGATCGTGTGAGTGTGCTGTGCACGCGTGGCGCTCATGGTGAGGCAGCCACGAGGAGTGCAGCCACCACGAGGAGTGCAGCCGCCACGAGGAGTGAAGCCTCCATTCTGTTCTTCCGTGTCTTGTGCGCTCTTCCCCGACTCTTGCGCACACCGTCACTCCACCCTCCCGCTTCCGCCCCCTGCCTCCCCCTCCTCTCTCCAAGCAGTGCGGGCGTGACAGCGGTGGGTAGTCGCCCGGCGTCGGAGTGGTGGGCGGGGCGATTCCAGGCGGGGCTGCTGGTGGAGGGCGCCATGCACGCACGATACGGGCACACACAGCACGCCATGGGGGTATGTATGTGCGGCACACACAGCACGCCATGGGGGTATGTATGTGCGGCACACACAGCACGCCATGGAGGTATGTATGTGCGGCACACACAGCATGCCATGGGGGTATGTATGTGCGGCACACACAGCACGCCATGGAGGTATGTATGTGCGGCACACACAGCACGCCATGGGGTTATGTATGTGCGGCACACACAGCACGCCATGGGGGTATGTATGTGCGGCACACACAGCACGCCATGGGGGTATGTATGTGCGGCACACGCAGCACGCCATGGGGGTATGTATGTGCGGCACACGCAGCACGCCATGGGGGTATGCACGGCACACATAGCACGCCATGGGGGTACAGCACGCCATGGAGGTATGTATGTGCGGCACACACAGCACACCATGGGGGTATGTATGTGCGGCACACACAGCACGCCATGGGGGTATGTATGTGCGGCACACACAGCACACCATGGGGGTATGTATGTGCGGCACACACAGCACGCCATGGGGGTATGTATGTGCGGCACACACAGCATGCCATGGGGGTATGTATGTGCGACACACACAGCACGCCATGGAGGTATGTATGTGCGGCACACACAGCACGCCATGGGGGTATGTATGTGCGGCACACACAGCACGCCATGGGGGTATGTATGTGCGGCACACGCAGCAAGCCATGGGGGTATGTATGTGCGGCACACGCAGCACGCCATGGGGGTATGTATGTGTTAGAATATTCCCCTATTCTATATTAGCCTACATCGTTTATAAGGCTTAGGTCATTGTAAGCAACCTATCTCTACTAGGGTGTAGTAACCCTAGGTTGGGGGTTGGCTTCCCACCTTGTTTGGGTTCCAACCTTGGCCATTATTGGCCCCCCCAATGGGCTTGACCTCCCAATTATTGGAGACCCCAATAATCCTACCAAGATTATTGGACCCTCCAATAATCTTGGTTGGGATCATTGGACCCCCCAATAATTCCCAACTCCATTATTGGTGGGGACCAGTAATCTTGGCCAAGGTCCCAACCAACCCCCCCCCACTTCTTACCCTCACACCTATGTATACCCTCATTTCTTCAATAACATCATCAACTTCTCTTCTCACAGTATGTGCGGCACACGCAGCACGCCACGGGGGTATGTATGTGCGGCACACACAGCACGCCATGGGGGTATGCATGGCACACACAGCACGCCATGGGGGTATGTGTAGCACACGCAGCACGCCATGGGGGTATGTGCGGCACACGCAGCACGCCATGGGGGTATGCACGGCACACATAGCACGCCATGGGGGTACAGCACGCCAGGGGGTATGCGCGGCACACGCAGCACGCCATGGGGGTATGTATGTGCGGCACAAGCAGCACGCCATGGGGGTATGTATGTGCAGCACACACAGCACGTCATGGGGGTATGTATGTGCGGCACACACAGCACGCCATGGGGGTTTGTATGTGCGGTACACACAGCACGCCATGGGGGTATGTATGTGCGGAACACACAGCACGCCATGGGGGTATGTATGTGCGGCACACACAGCACGCCATGGAGGTATGTATGTGCGGCACACACAGCACGCCATGGGGGTATGTATGTGCGGCACACGCAGCAAGCCATGGGGGTATGTATGTGCGGCACACGCAGCACACCATGGGGGTATGCGCGGCACATGCAGCACGCCATGGGGGTATGTATGTGCGGCACACGCAGCAAGCCATGGGGGTATGTGTGTGCGGCACACGCAGCACGCCACGGGCGTCGGGGGTATGTATGTGCGGCACACACAGCACGCCATGGGGGTATGCGTGGCACACACAGCACGCCATGGGGGTATGTGTGGCACACACAGCATGCCATGGAGGTATGTGTGGCACACACAGCACGCCATGAGGGTATGTGTGGCACACACAGCACGCCATGGGGGGAAGTGCGGCACACGCAGCCAAGGTGCAGAAAAAGGGTTTCCGTATTAAACGGTCCGTTTTTTACGGTCGTTTTATACAGCAGATTTATGCAAATTCTACCGTTTTTTTGTAAGAGTTTTTTTTTTTTGTTTTTGTTTTTTTTGTTTTTTTTGTTTTTTGTAACCGTAAACTTGAAAAAACCGCTGCGAAACAGAGGGCCTGGTGGCGGCCACAGCCGACGTTCATCTAAAACACCATCCTCGTCCTCCTAGACCTCCTTTCATTGTCCTTCTCGCCCTTCCTTCACCCTCCTCCTCCTAGTCTTCCTACTCTACTCCGGCTCTGCTCCTCCTCCTAATTGTCCTCCTCCTCCTCACCCTAGTCCTCCCCTTCCTCGCTTCAATCGCCCTCCTCACCCTCCTCACCCTCCTCGGTATAAAGCGAACTTCCGTTATTTATGGCGGTATAAAAAAACGGCCGTATAAAACGGCCGTTATTTTGCACCAGTCAGAAAACACCACTTTTGACTGTTTTAATCGTATTAAACGGCCGTGTTATACGATTCCGTTTTATACGGTAAAAAAAAGTAAAAACGCTGTTTTTTTGCACCTTGCACACAGCACGCCATGGGGGTATGCGCGGCAGACATAGCACGCCATGGGGGTACAGCACGCCAGGGGGTATGCCCCCACCCGTCTTGTGCCCCCACCCGTCTTGTGCCCCCACCCGTCTTGTGCCCCCACCCGCCACGCCAGGCTTTGATCGAGACAGTGCACATGGCGCAGCAGGTGAGACAGGGCACATGGCGCAACACAGCATGCCATCACAGCACGCCACAACAGCATGCCATCACAGCATGCCATCACAGCATGCCATCACAGCATGCCATCACAGCATGCCATCACAGCATGTCATCACAGCATGCCATCACAGCATGCCGGTTCAGCATGCCGTCACAGCATGCCATCACAGCATGCCGTCACAGTGCACCATGACTGCGTACCATGCTATGCTAACAACTTTGGCTTGCACCCTTCTATCCTGTCTTTCTTTCCCATGTTTTCCTCTTTTTCCTCCTTTTCCTCCTTTTCCGTTTCCTCCTCCCCCTCTCCCTGATCTGGAAACAGGAGACTGATGACGTGTGCCTGGTGCATGCCCTGTCAGCCATCTGTCACCTCCTATCGCAGACTGCCTCGTCAGACGCCCGTCGACAGCTGGCGGCGCTGGGAGCGCCCAGCTCGCTGCAGCAGCCCACGCGGCTGGAGGGGGGAGTTTGGCGGGGGGGAGGGAGGGAAGGGGGGAAAAAGGCTGTTGTGGGGGGAGGGTATGGGGTCCATGGGCGCATGGATGGGGAAGGGGAGGGGGAGGGGGAGGAGGAGGGGGAGGGGGAGGGCGAGGGGCGGTGGGGGCGGTGCAGCAGCAGGTGTGCGCGTTGCTGCAGCGCTGCCTGCTGCGCGGTGCCCAGCTGCGACTGCCGCGCCTCGTCTTCGCCATCCACCTGCTGCTCGCCCGCTACAGTGTCGAGGTACCCACGTGGACCGTGGTCATGCTGCTGTGGTACCCACGTGGTCATGCTGCTGTGGTACCCACGTGGGCATGCTGCTGTTGTACCCACGTGGTCATGCTGCTGTGGTACTCACGTGGTCATGCTGCTGTGGTACCCACGTGGGCATGCTGCTGTGGTATCCACGTGGTCATGCTGCTGTGGTACCCACGTGGTCATGCTGCTGTGGTACCCACGTGGTCATGCTGCTGTGGTACCAACGTGGTCACGCTGCTGTGGTAACCAGCTCGTTCCAGCTGGCTCTTCACTCTCCCCACATTCCTCTTCCCTCTCTCCTTTCCTCCTCCTCCCTCCTCTCTCCCATCCATCACCCACCCTGAGCCACCGTGCTTACCCTCCCCACCCCTCCCCATGCCCGCCTCCCCCCTCCCACCCCCTGCGTGCAGCACGTATCGGGCGTGAGGCCACTGCATGGCACCACCTCCCTCTCCCTCCCCCCCTCCGACGTCACCCCATCGCCGCTCCTTGTCTGCCACGTAAGCCGTGCTGCTCCGCTCTGCTCGTCCTGCCATTCCCCTGCGTCACCTCTTCCCATTGCCCAACGAGGCATCTGCGCCATTACGCCACAGCGAGCACCTTCCCGAGTCAATGTGTCGCTTGTATAGCACACCCGTTCTTGTCTCCTCCGCCTCGCCAGTCCGCCTGTCATCTGTTGCCCGTTTCTTCCCCCTTCCGCCCAGCCCATCCCCTCCCCTCTCCTGGTCCTCCCTCATCACTGCATCCTCCTCGCTGTTGCCCCTGTCCTGTCCCCTCCCCCCCCGCAGCACCTGCGCATGGGAGCACACCTCTTCAACCACTCCTGCACCTCCGCCATCCTCCTTCCCTCCGCCCTCTCCCCGCTTTCCTTCCCCCCCTCCGCCCCCCTCTCCCTCGCCGCGCTGCGCCTGGCCTCCTCCTCCTCCTCGTCTGCCGTGGCGGCAGCAGCGGCCGCCCTGAGCCTCACGTCCAGCCTCGCCCTCTCCGCGCCGCTCTCCTCCGCCTCCACCGCCGCGGGGCTCTTCTCCTCCGCCCAGACCATGCCCACCCCACAAGCCGCAGCCTCCGCAGCCCCAGCGGCAGCGGCGGCAGCAGCGGCAGGGAGGCTGGCCCCCCCGCCCGCTGCAGTGGTGCGGCTGGCAGGGGCGGCGCATGGCGTGCGGGCTGCCGCATGGGAGGTGTATGGGTGGTGAGTGTTGAGACGGGGCGAGTGATGTGAGGGGGTTAGTGGTGTGAGGGTAGTGATTGGTGTGAGGGTAGTGATTGGTGTGAGGGTATTGATTGGCGATGGTTATGAGTGGTGTGAGAGTGGTGAGTGGTGAGGGTGGTGAATAGACATGAGCAAATGAGTCAATTCTCGACTCGACTCCCCTGACATGGCATTCCCCGGAGGTGGCATTCCTTGGAGGTGGCATTCCCCGGAGGTGGCATTCCCGGGAGGTGGCATTCCCCGGAGGTGGCATTCCTTGGAGGTGGCATTCCCCGGAGGTGGCATTCCCCGGAGGTGGCATTTCCCGGAGGTGGCATTCCTTGGAGGTGGCATTCCCCGGAGGTGGCATTCCCCGGAGGTGGCATTCCCGGGAGGTGGCATTTCCCCGGAGGTGGCATTTGTGAGAAGAGAAGTTGATGATGTTATTGAAGAAATGAGGGTATACATAGGTGTGAGGGTAAGAAAGGGGGGGGGGGGGGGTTGGTTGGGACCTTGGCCAAGATTATTGGTCCCCACCAATAATGGAGTTGGGAATTATTGGGGGGTCCAATAATCCTAGTCAAGATTATTGGAGGGTCCAATAATCTTGGTAGGATTATTAGGGCCTCCAATAATTGGGAGGTTAAGCCCATTGGGGGGGGGGCAATAATGGCCAAGGTTGGAACACAAACAAGGTGGGAAGCCAACCCCCAACCTAGGGTTACTACACCCTAGTAGAGATAGGTTGCTTACAATGACCTAAGCCTTATAAACGATGTAGGCTAATAAAGAATAGGGGAATATTCTAATACAACCCCTTAGCCTACATAGGGCTAGAAGGCGGAGCGCTTGAAAGAGCAACCCCTGAATTAGGTGCTCCCGCGAGAGGAGGGAGGAGCGAGGCCAGTTAGCCGGAGAAGATTAGCATGAGCGGGCCGAGAGAGAGCTTTGGTGAAGATATCTGCAAGGTTGGCGGAGGAGTCAATCTTGCGGACGGCCAGGTGCCCGGCCTGGACAAGCTCGCGGACGAAGTAGTGGCGCAACTCGATGTGCTTAGGGCGGCCGTGAAAGACGGCTTCCTTGGTAAGGTGAATGGTGCTGGCATTGTCGCACCAAATGATGGGACAGGGCTGGGGGGCATCCAGCTCAGCGAGGAGGTAGCTGAGCCACCGTGCCTCTTGGGCCGCCATGGTGACGGCGTAAAGTTCGGCTTCGCAGGAGGAGAGAGCTATGGAGGAGGAGCGGGTGGAGCGCCATGAGATGAGACCGTTGCCAAGGGAGAAGCCGTACCCTTGAGAACTGCGGCGGTCGGGTTGGGAGTCGGCCGAGGACGAGTCACTGTAGCCAATGAGCGCAGGAGGGGAGGGTCCTCCAAGGGTGAGGACATAGTCCTTGGTGCCTCGCAGGTAGCGTAGAAGACGCTTGGCCGCCTGCCAATGCTCGAGAGTGTGCTTGCCAGCACCGACAAAGCGTGCCAGAACGCTGATGGGGTAGGCGAGGTCAGGACGTGTACACATCATTGCGTACATCAAGGACCCAACGAGCTCGGCGTATGGTTGAGTGGAGGAGGAGGGGGTGGCAGCAGGGGAGAGCTGGTGACCGACGGGAAGCGGCGTGGAGATGGGTTTGGCTGTGGCCATCTCGAACCGCTCAAGGACCTTTTGGACGTAGAAGGCTTGAGAGAGAGAGATGGTTTTCGCCGCGCGGTCACGGGTGATCTCCATGCCGAGGTAGTTGCGGACCTCTCCCAGGTCCTTGCAGGCGAGGCGCCTCTGAAGCTCGTCCTTGACTTGCTGCATTTCAGCGTCATTGTCGGCGGCGAGTAACATATCGTCGACATAGACGAGAATGTAGAAGGGGGAGGGAGAGGTCCGGAGGAGGAGGCTGGTGGCAGCCGCGGAGGGGCGAAAACCAAGGTCTCGAAGGGTGCTGGAGAGCTTGGCGTGCCACTCCCGAGGAGCCTGCTTGAGGCCGTACATAGGGCGGCGAAGCTCCCAGACAGTATTAGGGTCAAAGGGGAGATGCCAGCCCTTGGGGCGCTCCATAAAGATGCGTTCATGAAGCTCGCCCTGCAGGAATGCCGTAGTGACATCCATGGAGTGAAGGATCATGCCACGTCGACCGACAAAGTCGAGGAAGACGCGCACAACTGGCGGTGTCGCGGTCGGTGAGTATGTCTCGAAGAAGTCGTGACCATACCGCCGCGTAAAACCTTTAGCGCAGTAACGAGCTTTGTAGATTGGGTCATCGCCGGGAAGGAGCTTCACACGAAAGACCCACTTGCCCTTGACCACGTTGGTGTTGGGGGGGCGAGGGACGTCGACAAAGGTGCCATTGCGTACGAAAGCTTCGTTCTCCTTGAGGACGGCCTTTCCCCAACGAGGACTGTCAGGGCAGGTCATGGCTTCATCATAGTCTCCGGGCTCGAAGATGATGGGTGCGCCTTCGAAGACCAAGACTGGCGCCCCGGCGACGTTGAAGGCGACGGCGCAGGAGGAGGAAAAAAGGTGGAGGCGGAGGAACTCGCCATGGGAGTCCTCAATAAGGAGAGGAGAGAGAGGCGGAGGTAGGGGTGGTGGCGAGATGGCGACTCGGCCACACGGCTGCACGTTGCTGTTGCAATGCTGGACTGCTGCGCTGCTGCACTGCGGGATGGTTGCGTTGTTGCATGACGGAGTTGGAGGGCTGTTGTACAGCTGGATTGCTGCGCTGCTGCACGGCGGGATGGTTGCGTTGGTATCTGGATGGAGGGAGGGTGAGGGGACTGAGGTCGGGAGGTGGGGGCAGGGGTGGGAGGACCAAAAATGGGATCCATGGACCGTGTATGCGGGCGATGTCGAAGAACAAGAGGAGGTTGATCCTGGGCAGGAGCGGGGCCAGGGGCAGGAGGGGCAGGATAGGTGGCGGCTGGGGCGGGATCAGAGGCGGAGGTGGAAGCGGGAGTAGGGGCAGGAGGAGGGGCGGAAGCGGAGGAGGGGGAGGGGGAGGGGGGGATTACCAAATCAGAGGCGTCGTCAGATTGACCAGAGGACGGGGGAAGTGGAGGAGGGGGAGGTGGAGGGACAAGGGGGGGAGGGGGGAGAAGAGGCAGGGAGATCGTGTCGGACACAGTGAGAGGGCGAGGGGTGACGGTAAGAGGGTCACTTGTGGGGGGGGAAGAGTAGTACGGGGTGGATTCGTCGAAGACGACGTCCCGACTACGTATGAGACGACCTGAGGGGGGATGGAGGAAAAGGTAATCAGGGGAAGAAGGGTTGTGCCCAAGGAAGATGCAGGGAAGGGCCTCGGAGGCAAGCTTCCCTGCTGTGCGAGAGCGGTCGGCGGGGTGTATGAGGACATGAGCCTTTGAGCCCCAGACGCGAAGGGGAGAAATATCGGGCTTGGAGGACGTCCAAAGCTCGGTAAGGGTAGTGGAAGGACGGAGGGGGTGGGGGTAGAGGTTAGTTAGGAGGGTCGCGTGGAGGAAGGCATAGCCCCAAAGAGAGGGCGGGCACGAGGCATGGACTAGGAGACACCGAGCAGTTTTAGTGATCTCTCGAATCCGAGCCTCGGCCAGACCATTCTGCTCTGGGGAGTGCGGAAGGGTATGGGTATGGCGAATGCCATGGGAAATGCAGTATGAGGAAAACTGCTGTTTTAGAAATTCGCCGCCTCCATCGGAGTGGAAGTGACGAACGGGGCGTTTAAAGTGTGTACGGGCCTGCTCTGCCCAAGCGATGATCGCAGCCGGAGCCTCGGCCTTCGTTCGAAGGAGAGAGACCGAGGTATACCGGGAGTGATCGTCGACGAGGACAAGAAGGTAGCGGTGACCCTGGCAGGTAGGGGAGGGGTTGGGTCCCCAGAGATCCATATGGACAATGTCCAGGAGCTCAGGGGCATATGAGGGGTGGCTTTTATGAGGGAGTTGTTTCAGCTTAGCCTGAACACAAATGGTGCAGGGAGGGGCAAGAGAGGGAGGGAGAGGGGGAACGGTGAGTGGAAGGCCTTTGAGAAGGCCAGTGGCAACAGTGCATTGGAGGGTGGCAAAATTGGGATGCCCAAGGCGGTGGTGGAGGAGTAGGGCGGGATGGGAAAGATCCCGGCAGTGGCATTGGGATGGGGGGGTGCTAGAGAAGAGGAGGGACTGGTGGGTAGGGGTTGAAGAGGAAAAAGTGTAGGGGGACCGGAGGGGGTAAGAGAGGCAGCCTGACACAGGGCGGGACGAGGAGTGCGAAGGGTGTACATACGAGAGGTAGGACATAAGGGGACACGGGTGATGAATCGACCGGAGGTGGAGTGATACAAGTCACAGTGGGAAGCGTGGCCGGGGTGGATCGTAGTCACCCCGGCACGTTGGAGGGCACCTTGGGAGACAAGGTTAGTACGAAGTGAGGGGATGTGAAAACCTGTGACGGAGGCAGAGGGAAAAAGGGGACAGGGGAGGGTGGAGGTGTGAGTGGTGGTGATGGAGAAACTGGAATCTGCCCCAAGGATGGTGGAGGGGGAGGTGAGGGGAGCAAGATGACCGGCGTCACGGAGGACCGGGGCGCTTGCTCCACTGTCAATTACGAACTCAAGGGGAGGGGAGGAGTGGGTCCGGGAATACTGGAAAGAAGCTTCATTCATAGATTCGGGATACAGAATAGTGGGATCAGGCTGAGTAACATGACCTAAGAAACCAGCAGAGGGGAAGGGAGTGAAACCGGGAAGACCAGAGGGAGTCTGGGCAGTTGTGGCCGGCATAGCACTCGAAGCGGAGGATTGCTGAGATGGGGGAGGAGGAGTCGGCTGCTGCTGCTGCTGTTGCGGCTGTTGCTGCTACTGCTGCTGCTGGTACTGCTGTTGGTACTGCTGCTGGTACTGCTGCTGAAACGGCTGTTGCTGCTGGGGGTACTGCTGCTGCTGCTGGGTGTACTGCTGCTGCTGTGGAGGGAGAAGGGATTGAACCTGCTGGAGGACTTGGGGGGACAGGTGCTGTGCCAGGATCTGGCGAAGGGAGGACGACTGATAGGCGGGAGAAGTGCGAACATCAAGAGCAGTGGGGGGCGGAGTCATGGATGACCAGCGGGGTGGGATACCAGTGTTCCCGCGGTCAAACCATTCATCCGTAAGTGCCTTGAAGCAGGTGGTTGTGGGATGAGTAGTTTGGAGGCAGCGCTGACCTTTGTTGGTGCCGTAACGAATGAGATACTGACATGGAGGGTAGTTACCGGTGCATCGGCCGCTGCCACCGCCACGTTCACCACTGCGTCCGCCCCCGCGACCTCCTCCAGAGCGCCCCGCCGTGCTGCCACCACGTCCGCCAGCACGTCCACCACGTGCCTGTGCGGCATTCACGGTTGGGGGAGACTGGCGGAGGAGTTCCGCCTCAGTCTTTAGGATCCACGTGACGACCTCGGTGGAGTCAGGCGGGTAGCGGGCATGGACTTCATCGAAGGCCACCTTGCGCGTGTCAAACATCGGCGAGAGGCCGTCGAGGAGGCGGCACACGAGGAGGGAATCGGGAAGAGCTGAGTCGCGAGCAGCGAGGCGGCTGGCAGTGGAGGTGAGGCGCCGGGTGAAAGCAAGCGCGTTGGGGCAGCTATCGAGTGTGATCTCGCGGAATGCACGATGGAGTGCGAGGAGGGAGTTTGTGTCCTGCAGGTCATAGGTGGCACAAAGCTCCTTCCAGAAAGAGGCAGAGGAGGAGGGATTGATCTCGCGTTTAAGGGAGGAAGGGACGCAAGCAATGAGGATGGAGAGGCATTTGCGGTCAGCTTGAACCCAAGGAGCATAGCGAGTGCGAAACTCACGAGAGTCTGCGGCATGCTGAGCAACGTCTATGTCATACTTGGAGATGAGTGCTTTGGCTTCGTCGTGGGCGTTCTGCTTCTCGGAGTAGGTGTGTTGGAGAAGAGTGTAGTCGGCGAAGTCTTTGTCGTACTTAGTGCGGAGGCGAGCCCAGCGGTCAGGATCAGTGTTGTACTCGGGGTGAGTGGGCTTGATGGGCTCAGGTCCTGAGGGGGGATCAGGGGGGGAGGGGGGCTTTCCTGCCTCAGTGTCCTCGAGGATGTCGAGGAGGCAGAAGTCGTTGATGATTGTGGAGCCGAGAACTGTGGTGATGCTTTGCGCGAACGAGTTCCAGTTGATAGGAACCACGCCATCGGCGAGTTCGAGTGCATCGATGGTGCTGATGTCAACCGCGAGCGAGTCCGTTGCCATGGCGGGTGGGAATCAGCTACCTGCAGCCAACCAGCGACCAGGGACCGGCTTCCAGCGACGTGGGGGGAGGGGGAGGAGGAGAGAGGAAGGAGAAAAAGGACGGGTGTGCGACGGGCAGCCTTGGAATCCTTCCACGAAAGGGTCGTCGAGTGGCACGGATGACGAGATTGCGTCGAGTGCTAATGCGTGCTGCGCGCGACGAGCGGTGACGACGGGAGGGTCGCGAAATGCGGCGACGAGCAACCGCGAAATGCAGTGACGGAAAGGCCGATAAATGCGGCGACGAGAGGGCCGCGAAATGCGGCAACGGGAGGGCAGCGAAGTGCCGCGACGAGCGGCCGCGACAAGCGGCGACGGGAGAGCCGCGAAATGCGGTGACGGGAGAGCCGCAAAATGCAGCGACGAACGGTCGCGACGAGCGACAACGGGAGAGCCGCGAAATGCGGCGACAAACGGTCGCAACGGGCGGCGACGGGAGAGCCGCGAAGTGCGGAGACGAACGGTCGCGACGAGCGACGACGGGAGAGCCGCGAAATGCGGCAGCGGCGCGGAAATGTGCGCGGAGAGGGCACGGGGTGCGCTAGGGGGGGCAGCGCGGAATGCGCGGGAGCAAGGCGCAAAGTGCGCGGAGGGAGGGCGTGGGAAGGAACACACTTTCAGGATCGTTCTAGGAGGTGGCGTGAGCCATAGGCTCTGAATACCATGTGAGAAGAGAAGTTGATGATGTTACCAACCTACCATGTGGTGCTGCAGTGGTGCGGCTGGCAGGGGCGGCGCATGGCGTGCGGGCTGCCGCATGGGAGGTGTATGGGTGGTGAGTGTTGAGACGGGGCGAGTGATGTGAGGGGGTTAGTGGTGTGAGGGTAGTGATTGGTGTGAGGGTAGTGATTGGTGTGAGGGTATTGATTGGCGATGGTTATGAGTGGTGTGAGAGTGGTGAGTGGTGAGGGTGGTGAGGGTGGTGAATAGACATGAGCAAATGAGTCAATTCTCGACTCGACTCTCCTGACATGGCATTCCCCGGAGGTGGCATTCCCCGGAGGTGGCATTCCCCGGAGGTGGCATTCCCCGGAGGTGGCATTCCCCGGAGGTGGCATTCCCGGGAGGTGGCATTTCCCCGGAGGTGGCATTTGTGAGAAGAGAAGTTGATGATGTTATTGAAGAAATGAGGGTATACATAGGTGTGAGGGTAAGAAAGGGGGGGGGGGGGGTTGGTTGGGACCTTGGCCAAGATTATTGGTCCACACCAATAATGGAGTTGGGAATTATTGGGGGGTCCAATAATCCCAGCCAAGATTATTGGAGGGTCCAATAATCTTGGTAGGATTATTGGGGCCTCCAATAATTGGGAGGTCAAGCCCATTGGGTGGGGGCCAATAATGGCCAAGGTTGGAACCCAAACAAGGTGGGAAGCCAACCCCCAACCTAGGGTTACTACACCCTAGTAGAGATAGGCTGCTTACAATGACCTAAGCCTTATAAACGATGTAGGCTAATATAGAATAGGGGAAGATTCTAACAGCATTCCCCGGAGGTGGCATTCCCCGGAGGCACATCACTGACTGACGATAGCAAGCTGGGGGGAAGGGGAGCGTCGTGGAGCATGGAGCATGCCCTTCATGCGTTAAGAGGCACCCTTGCCCATCCACGTGCATGCCATGCAATGCACCTTTCTGTTGTTTTCTTCTCATTAACCTTGCACCCGCATGTCTATTCCACTCATACGCCGCTGTCACTCTCGCTCCCTCCCCCTGCCGCCACATCAGCCCCTCTATGGCCATGGCCAGCTCAGCACTGCATCTTCTCTGCTACTCCGATGCTGCCACGTGAGCTCTCCTTTCGCAACCATTCTTCGACCCCTCCTCATCATTCGACGCGCCTCTCTCGCTTTTGAACCTTCCGCCAGCGTTCTGCTGTCCTCTTGTCTCTTGCCTTCACGCATCCCCTTCTTCTCCTCGCTCTCCCACCCACGCCTTCCTGCTTTCGCCCCGCATGCCATTCACTTCCCTTTCATTCCACATCCCCTTTCCCCAACCATTTGCCTGGTCGTTCGTCCCCTGGCTGGCCGTGCATGGGCTCTAGTGCCAGCCGTGCATGAGCTCTCTCTCCTGCTCCTCGCTGCCATCCCGCCCTGCAGGGCTGACGACCTTGCAGCGGCAGCAGTCAAGCTGCTGCGACACACAGCTGCACACCGTGGCGCCTCAGGTGGGCCTCGGGTTGGCCTCGGGTGAACGTCACGTGGGCCTCAGGTGAACGTCAGGTGGGCTTCAGGTGAATGTCAGGTGGGCTTAGGTGAACGTCGGGTGGGCCTCAGGTGAGTTGCGAGGTAGGGAATGAAGGGATGGGGGGGAAGGGGGGTTGATTTGTCTGTGTGGGTCTCCAGGGCGGATGAAGGAGGATGGTATGGCAGGAGCATGCTGCACTCACCTTTTGTTGAAGGCGGGCTGCACAGCCACTCCTGCATTTGTTGTGCTATCCGAGTTCACTCGTTTCAGAGTGGTTCGTATGCTCCAAGTCACAGAGTCCCAGCCTCACTCAACTGTGACCTCCCACAATCTCCAACCAATACGAATTTCTGTAAATCCCGTTCGAAAGTCCACCCAGATGTCCTGGCTTTCCAACCCATCTCACCCTGTGCTTTAAGGTCCTGTGCTTCTCTACCTCATCTATTAGGTCAAGGTCTGCCACTCACTCCGTCTTTCGCAGTCTCTCCCCACCATGCAACGCTGAACGGCATGCCACCAATCACGGCCACGAAGCACACTGACTGTATATTCCCTCCGTCCAAACCTGTGGTGTGATGGTAAGCGCACCATTCAGCTCACCAAGGACTCAGCTTCACACACCCGCATGTACCACGTGCGGTGCCGTCCAGTGCTCCGTGGTGGCCTCCTTCAGCACGCCCAGCTGACGGCGCACCGCGTCGCCCCTGCCTGCCACCGCGCTCACCTCCTCACCTCCATTGCACGTGCCGACCATCACGCCCCGCGCGATTCCACGGGGCTCTCTGCTCCGTCTTCTCCACCCTCCCCATTGCAACCAAGAGGGTGCCATCAAAATAGGCTCTATTTTCACTTGTTTGTTTGCACGTGTCACACAGTTTAATTGTCAAAGTTTTGGGTAGGATGGGTGTACAAAAATTCTCTCCCTTTCTCGAATGTGCGCCCCTGAACCCTTCAGTCCACGGATTGGAGATCAGCTTGGGGATCAGCTTGGGGATTCCACCGCGATATCATTGTCATCTCTTCCAGCCCGTCTTGTGTTCCACCTTCCATCTTCATGTCATACGAGCCTGGTTGATTCGCTCCTACCGTGTTCTTCCTCTTGCTCTCCCCCCCCTCCCCCTTCCTCCAGTGGCCCTTCCTCTCCTGCATCGTCTGCAGCAGCATCCGCTGCTCTCCTCCTCCCCCACCCTCCGCATTGCTGAGCTGGAGATAACTCACGACCTCTGCCTCGCCACGTGAGCACCCTGCCAGTCCCGCCACTTGAGAGTCGCTTGTTCGTCCTGCGTGCTCGTCTGTGTGCCCGTCTGCGTGCTCGTCTGTGTGCTCGTCTGCGTGCTCGTCTGCGTGCTCGACTGTGTGCTCGTCTGTGTGCTCGTCTGTGTGCTCGTCTGCGTGCTCGTCTGGGTGCTCGTCTGTGTGCTCGTCTGTGTGCTCGTCTGTGTGCTCGTCTGCGTGCTCGTCTGCGTGCTCGTCTGCGTGCTCCTCTGCGTGCTCCTCTGTGTGCTCCTCTGTGTGCTCGTCTGTGTGCTCGTCTGTGTGCTCGTCTGTGTGCTCGTCTGTGTGCTCGTCTGCGTGCTCGTCTGCGTGCTCGTCTGTGTGCTCGTTTGCGTGCTCGTCTGCGTGCTCGTCTGCGTGCTCGTCTGTGTGCTCGTCTGTGTGCTCGTCCGTGTGCTCGTCCATGTGCTCGTCTGTGTGCTCGTCCGTGTGCTCGTCTGTGTGCTCGTCTGCGTGCTCGTCTGCGTGCTCGTCTGTGTGCTCTTCTGCGTGCTCGTCTGCGTGCTCTTCTGCGTGCTCGTCTGCGTGCTCGTCTGCGTGAAGGAACTAGCTTGGAAGAGAAAAGATTGAATTGGGTAGGGAGCCAAGAGGCTCTTTTGTACAAAACAAGGAGCAAGGAAGAGTTGGAAGGGAAGCTCTCCTATTGGCCATAAAGTGGACCAATGGGAGAGGTTGCTTGTAGGGCAAGCAACCACAAAGTGTTGTGCTCTCCGATTAGCCACAATGTGGACCAATGAGAGAGATTGCTTGGAAGGCAAGCAACCACAAAGTGTGGTGCTTGGTGATTGGTTGGTTCCTAGGACCAAGGATCATTTGTTTGGAAAAGTGCCAACCAAATGTCTAGGACCAAATCCAATCTTGACCAACCCAAATGTGGGGTTGGTCAACCCAACCAACAACCCCCCAATAATTATAATGACTACACCTCCTAATCTAGGCATGCATGTTGTATAGATATATATTTTACAACACTGCGTGCTCGTCTGCGTGCTCGTCTGTGTGCTAGTCTGCGTGCTCGTCTGCGTGCTCGTCTGTGTGCTCGTCTGTGTGCTCGTCTCCGTGCTCGTCTGTGTGCTCGTCTGCGTGCTCGTCTGTGTGCTCGTCTGTGTGCTCGTCTGTGTGCTCGTCTGTGCGCTCGTCTGTGCGCTCGTCTGTGTGCTCGTCTGTGTGCTCGTCTGTGTGCTCGTCTGTGTGCTCGTCTGTGTGCTCGTCTGCGTGCTCGTCTGCGTGCTCGTCTGCGTGCTCGTCTGCGTGCTCGTCTGCGTGCTCGTCTGCGTGCTCGTCTGCGTGCTCGTCTGCGTGCTCGTCTGCGTGCTCGTCTGTGTGCTCGTCTGTGTGCTCGTCTGTGTGCTCGTCTGCGTGCTCGTCTGCTTGCTCGTCTGTGTGCTAGTCTGCGTGCTCGTCTGCGTGCTTGTCTGTGTGCTCGTCTGTGTGCTCGTCTGTGTGCTCGTCTGTGTGCTCGTCTGTGTGCTCGTTTGCGTGCTCGTCTGCGTGCTCGTCTGCGTGCTCGTCTCTGTGCTAGTCTGCGTGCTCGTCAGTGTGCTCGTCTGTGTGCTCGTATGTGTGCTCGTCTGTGTGCTCGTCTGCGTGCTCGTCTGTGTGCTCGTTGGTGTGCTCGTCTGTGTGCTCGTCAGTGTGCTCGTCCGTGTGCTCGTCCGTGTGCTCGTCTGTGTGCTCGTCTGCGTGCTCGTCTGCGTGCTCGTCTGTGTGCTCGTCTGCGTGCTCGTCTCCGTGCTCCTCTGTGTGTTTGTCTGCGTGCTTGTCTGCGTGCTCGTCTGCCTGCTCGTCTACGTGCTCGTCTGTGTGCTCGTCTGTATGCTCGTCTGTGTGCTCGTCTGTGTGCTCGTCTACGTGCTCGTCTACGTGCTCGTCTGTGTGCTCGTCTTTGTGCTCGTCTGTGCGCTCGTCTGTGCGCTCGTCTGAGAGCTCATCTGTGTGCTCGTCTGTGTGCTCGTCTGTATGCTCGTCTGTGTGCTCGTCTGCGTGCTCGTCTGCGTGCTCGTCTGTGTGCTCGTCTGTGTGCTCGTCTGTATGCTCGTCCGTGTGCTCGTCCGTGTGCTCGTCTGTGTGCTCGTCTGTGTGCTCGTCTGCGTGCTCGTCTGTGTGCTCGTCAGTGTGCTAGTCTGCGTGCTCGTCTGTGTGCTCGTCTGTGTGCTCGTCTCTGTGCTCGTCTGTGTGCTCGTCTACGTGCTCGTCTACGTGCTTGTCTGTGTGCTCGTCTGTGTGGTCGTCTGTGCGCTCGTCTGTGCGCTCGTCTGAGAGCTCATCTGTGTGCTCGTCTGTGTGCTCGTCTGTGTGCTCGTCTGTATGCTCGTCTGTATGCTCCTCTGTGTGTTTGTCTGCGTGCTCGTCTGCGTGCTCGTCTGCCTGCTCGTCTGCGTGCTCGTCTGTGTGCTCGTCTGTGTGCTCGTCTGAGAGCTCATCTGTGTGCTCGTCTGTGTGCTCGTCTGTATGCTCGTCTGTGTGCTCGTCTGTGTGCTCGTCTCTGTGCTCGTCTGTGTGCTCGTCTGCGTGCTCGTCTGTGTGCTCGTCTGTGTGCTCGTCTGTGTGGTCCTCTGTGTGCTCGTCTCCGTGCTCGTCTCTGTGCTCGTCTGCGTGCTCGTCTGTGTGCTCGTCTCTGTGCTCGTCTGTGTGCTCGTCTGCGTGCTCGTCTGTGTGCTCGTCTGTGTGCTCGTCTGTGTGGTCCTCTGTGTGCTCGTCTCCGTGCTCGTCTCTGTGCTCGTCTGCGTGCTCGTCTGTGTGCTCGTCTGTGTGCTCGTCTGTGTGCTCGTCTGTGTGCTCGTCCGTGTGCTCGTCTGCGTGCTCGTCTGCTTGCTCGTCTGTGTGCTAGTCTGCGTGCTCGTCTGCGTGCTTGTCTGTGTGCTCGTCTGTGTGCTCGTCTGTGTGCTCGTCTGTGTGCTCGTCTGTGTGCTCGTTTGCGTGCTCGTCTGCGTGCTCGTCTGCGTGCTCGTCTCTGTGCTAGTCTGCGTGCTCGTCAGTGTGCTCGTCTGTGTGCTCGTCTGTGTGCTCGTCTGTGTGCTCGTCTGCGTGCTCGTCTGTGTGCTCGTTGGTGTGCTCGTCTGTGTGCTCGTCTGTGTGCTCGTCCGTGTGCTCGTCCGTGTGCTCGTCTGTGTGCTCGTCTGCGTGCTCGTCTGCGTGCTCGTCTCTGTGCTCGTCTGCGTGCTCGTCTCCGTGCTCCTCTGTGTGTTTGTCTGCGTGCTCGTGTGCGTGCTCGTCTGCCTGCTCGTCTGCGTGCTCGTCTGTGTGCTCGTCTGTATGCTCGTCTGTGTGCTCGTCTGTGTGCTCGTCTACGTGCTCGTCTACGTGCTCGTCTGTGTGCTCGTCTTTGTGCTCGTCTGTGCGCTCGTCTGTGCGCTCGTCTGAGAGCTCATCTGTGTGCTCGTCTGTGTGCTCGTCTGTATGCTCGTCTGTGTGCTCGTCTGCGTGCTCGTCTGCGTGCTCGTCTGTGTGCTCGTCTGTGTGCTCGTCTGTATGCTCGTCCGTGTGCTCGTCCGTGTGCTCGTCTGTGTGCTCGTCTGTGTGCTCGTCTGCGTGCTCGTCTGTGTGCTCGTCAGTGTGCTAGTCTGCGTGCTCGTCTGTGTGCTCGTCTGTGTGCTCGTCTCTGTGCTCGTCTGTGTGCTCGTCTACGTGCTCGTCTACGTGCTTGTCTGTGTGCTCGTCTGTGTGGTCGTCTGTGCGCTCGTCTGTGCGCTCGTCTGAGAGCTCATCTGTGTGCTCGTCTGTGTGCTCGTCTGTGTGCTCGTCTATATGCTCGTCTGTATGCTCCTCTGTGTGTTTGTCTGCGTGCTCGTCTGCGTGCTCGTCTGCCTGCTCGTCTGCGTGCTCGTCTGTGTGCTCGTCTGTGTGCTCGTCTGAGAGCTCATCTGTGTGCTCGTCTGTGTGCTCGTCTGTGCGCTCGTCTGTGCGCTCGTCTGAGAGCTCATCTGTGTGCTCGTCTGTGTGCTCGTCTGTATGCTCGTCTGTGTGCTCGTCTGTGTGCTCGTCTGTGTGCTCGTCTCTGTGCTCGTCTGTGTGCTCGTCTGCGTGCTCGTCTGTGTGCTCGTCTGTGTGCTCGTCTGTGTGGTCCTCTGTGTGCTCGTCTCTGTGCTCGTCTCTGTGCTCGTCTGCGTGCTCGTCTGTGTGCTCGTCTGTGTGCTCGTCTGTGTGCTCGTCTGTGCGCTCTTCTGTGCGCTCGTCTGTGTGCTCGTCTGTGTGCTCGTCTGTGTGCTCCTCTGTGTGCTCGTCTGCGTGCTCGTCTGCGTGCTCGTCTGCGTGCTCGTCTGCGTGCTCGTCTGCGTGCTCGTCTGCGTGCTTGTCTGCGTGCTCGTCTGTGTGCTTGGCTGTGTGCTCGTCCGTGTGCTCGTCTGCGTGCTCGTCTGCATGCTCGTCTGTGTGCTAGTCTGTGTGCTCGTCTGTGTGCTCGTCTGTGTGCTCGTCTGTGTGCTCGTCTGTGTGCTCGTTTGCGTGCTCGTCTGCGTGCTCGTCTGCGTGCTCGTCTCTGTGCTAGTCTGCGTGCTCGTCAGTGTGCTCGTCTGTGTGCTCGTCTGTGTGCTCGTCTGTGTGCTCGTCTGTGTGCTCGTCTGTGTGCTCGTTGGTGTGCTCGTCTGTGTGCTCGTCCGTGTGCTCGTCCGTGTGCTCGTCCGTGTGCTCGTCTGTGTGCTCGTCTGCGTCCTCGTCTGCGTGCTCGTCTGTGTGCTCGTCTGCGTGCTCGTCTGCGTGCTCCTCTGTGTGTTTGTCTGCGTGCTCGTCTGCGTGCTCGTCTGCCTGCTCGTGTGCGTGCTCGTCTGTGTGCTCGTCTGTATGCTCGTCTGTGTGCTCGTCTGTGTGCTCGTCTACGTGCTCGTCTACGTGCTCGTCTGTGTGCTCGTCTTTGTGCTCGTCTGTGCGCTCGTCGATGCGCTCGTCTGAGAGCTCATCTGTGTGCTCGTCTGTGTGCTCGTCTGTATGCTCGTCTGTGTGCTCGTCTGCGTGCTCGTCTGCG